GAAATCAACAAAAATCCATGTTAGCTTCAAGAGGAAGATCTTCACCTTTGGTTTTCAGAACTCATTTTCCCATAAATATGTCAAAAATCAAAGATGTAGATTTGTCATGCTCAAGAGTTTTGTGACAAAATTATTGCTTCTTAGTGTGCATTTTTATGAATTGCTATTTTTCCCCAGTGTATTTCCAAGCATTAAAGAAATAGGTCTTTTTTTGCGTAGTGAAAATATTTTCATATGTTCTAGAGTTTCCTTCCATTTTCATAATTTTTGAGTTAGAAAACATCAGCCTGAAAGTAAATTAAATATAACATTCCTGTTTTTTTCCTTTGCTGGGGCAACACCATTATTTTTTTATGCTTTGCAGTAACAAATAACCAGTTCTCTTTATTAAGAAAAGGGTTCTACATTGAACAGTTCCATTATGGAATGGGCAAATCAATTTCAAAATCTCAGTATGCTCTGAAATGTCTACTTTGAAGACCAATCTTTAATCAGCTAATGCTTTTCCAAAATTAAATGTGCATCCTGAATATTTCTCTCTGGGCTCAAAAAGCCTTTCAGCTCTGTCTTGATTACGATTAAATTCTGTTGAACACAAAAAGTACTAAATATCACTAGTAAAATGTTTCTAATATATCTCAGGCTCCTAAATGCCATATTAAAGCAATGGGATGCTGGTGTCAAGGTTATTCAGTGACTTTGGATTTTTATTCCTTTGGGCCTGCCAACAAAAAACAAATACTATATCCATGAGCTGTAGTATTGTTAGTAACATCTGGAGACTGAGGTAGGCTCCAAAAGTATTTGAGTGGAATGGACTGCTTAATGGGAAACCTAAGTATCAGCATCTATCAACATCGACCTAATTTTCTGTTATTTTTCACACCTGAATAGCTTTATGCACTCCTTCCATATTTTTGCTGTATCCCACTGAAGGCTTTAAGTCTTTCTCAATTTCAGATAAAACTTGTTTGTATCTATGGAATATGTGGACATTTATGGAAACCTTTGGATTAAAATGTAGCAGAACAAATCTCAACAGAAGTCAGATTCTTAAGTTTTAAATAAAACTTGGTGAAATGTTTTAAGATTTGGGCTGTGGCTAGAGGAGTCAGCTGAGCTGTTCAAACAGTTAGCTGACACAGACAAGCCCAGTTCCACTCCCTTACCCATTCCCATCCAGCCTGTGATAATTTCTCCTCTGTGTTAGTTCTAGTTTGATCTCTCAGTGAGCCAGTTCTATGTTTTAAACTGTTAGAAAACTTATGAAGCAAAAAAAGAAAATTTTTGGGTAAAGGTTGTGGAGGTGAATCAGTCCACTGATTGACAAATGCCAGAGAGGGCAAAACACTGAGGTTGGAACTACACAGCCAGGGAATGTGGGAAGGGATTGCCTTTTTAAGAGGCAGAGGGACATTAGAGTGGAAACAGAAATTTTCTAAGAGTTCTCACTAAAGGGTTTTTAATTCAGTCCTGACAAGAATGTTATAATACTGCCTAACACTGTTCATTGAACACTTCGGATTTGGTTTTTTTTTAAATGTATGCCGGTATGACAATTGTGTTACATGTATATTTTTATCACTGCTTTTCAGTAGGAAAAAAAGTAGGTAAAAATTCCTTAATGTAAATATCTAAAGGGTATAAGTAATCTGGACTTGTGGGCATACAGGTGAGACATAAAAAACAAGAATGAAGACTAGAGTTAAAGCCTGATTTCCTAGCAAATTTACTATTAATTTCCTGCTTTCCCTGGACACATCGTAACTGACTTTGTCCTGATTGTCCTCCACTACCTTCAAGTCCTTCTTCCTACCTGTCTGACTAGGTCAAAAGCAACATACAATACAGCTCTAAGAAAGTGTCAGATGTGTGCTGCCTGGCTGGTTGACTTCTGCCTGTGCAATAAGCCACAAGAAATGTCATAAAGTGCTTTTCTTTCACTGGTAGAGTGGGCTTGATTTGTCTGAGAATTGTCCCCCTTGTGTCAAATATGTTTGGAATTGGACATTGCACTTAAAAACGGTGTCAGGATACTGAGAAGACGGGCAGCTATAGGGGAGAAAGAACAGTCACATGAAGCTTCTTACCTTTAAAGACTCCAGTTAGAAGTCATTTTAGGTTGTAACAAGCATATTTGGTTTTCTTTTTTTTATGGTGATTCTGGAATTCTGTTCCAGCAGGAAGATGCCTGCTGTCTATACTACATGAGTATGTACTGTAGGAGTATAATATGGATTTTAGGACCTCGCTTATCAAAGTTTGTTCACATTTCATCTACATTCTACAAGAGATGTAGATCTTAACTGTTGATTCACCCTGTTGGTCAGACCTAACTATTCAAAAATGTTACTAGGAAGAACAGTACTTCCAGAACCCCTTCCAGAGAAGCAGCTGAGAAACAGTTTATTTAGAATAAGATTCAGAATGGGAATCTGAGCCACAAGAATCAGAGAAACTTTCTTTGCTCTGGGACAGTCACTTGCACGAGCCTTTCTTTCATTATTGTTAATTGGGGTTAAGGATAACTCTGTGGATGTGTCTGTCTTCTTATATCCGAAGTTGTATAACAAAAGTCATGAGAAGGTTTCTGGTGAAACAAAAGAAATTAAGGAAAAGCAAATATGGGAAATGCAAAAAAGACATCTACTAAAGAAGTGTAGGTTGAGCTTTTTTATTGTTAGTGCTTTTTCAGTTCAGACTAAGGGCAAAACACAAGATTGCTTGAGCAATGCCAAAGAAATTTTCTGTGTGTGAAATGGTCAAAAAGCCAACTGTTTATAGGAAGTGACAGGATGAAAGACCACCTTCAAGATGTTAGAAAATGTCAAAGGTTTTGAAACAGATGAGGTAATAGCAGAGTTAACTATTACTGCTCTGCAGAGAACCTGGTGATAAGAGATCATTCTGTGAGCTTTTATGACATTCCTACTTCCAGGCAGACCTCTGTGTTGGTGGGAATTTGAGTTATCAGCTGTTCATGTAGCTCAAACTGACATTTTAGTATCACACTGTGATTCTGCAGATCCTTGTTCTTTCGCAACATTCAGTAATGGAAGAAATTAGACAAAAGGGAAACTGCTGATAGAACAGATCGTGGGTTTATGGGTCTCAGAAGAGGTGGTTATGTTTTACTAGAAATCCAGATGTCTACACTAATTATCTGTGATAAGCTAGACAGCATCAATGAGTCCTCTAATTTCTGAGGATGTTTGGTGCATTTTGTCTCCAGGCAGAGGTATTTTTGCCTGGTAAGGTTTTAGATGAAAAATGCTCACAATTATTCCTTAAGTTCATGTACAGAAAACAAATTAGGAGCAAGGTAAATATTATTTGGAACATACTAATATTCATAGCTTTCTACTAAGCTTACCTGTGAGTAAAATATAAATATAATAAGTGTACATGACTTTTTTTGCAAGACTTAATGCTAATGAAAAATTTTAAAATTAATTTTAATTATCTCATTGTGAAATAGACAATATAATTGCCTTTTTCACAATATAATGATTTATTTGTTTGCACTTATTGTTTTGTTTTCATTACTGACACAAGATACCCACAGTCATTTGACTTGGATATATGGCATGACCTTTTAAGAAGGAACATTATAACATGGCAGTAGCACATTCCAGTGGTTAACTTGCAGATAAAATAGTTGCATGAGTAACTGCTCTGAAAACTTGTAATCTGAGACAGTATAATTAGCACTGTCTGTGTTAAGTCCTTATGATGACGTAGTTTTTAATGAATGATGATTTTAAAAGCAAAAAATTTTCTTAAATGTAAGCCTAAAAACTGAAAATAAATTAAAATAAGGCAGTGATATCCCATCTTCCTAACTAATCTTTTCTTTCCTTTCCATGTGGACATGTGTAAATCATTCTAAATTGTCTGCAGAAGAGCTGATGGCACAGGTTAAAATGTATCTCAACTAGCCAAAATTATCATGAGGAACAGACGACATGTATTAGTTGGTATTCATGTCTGGATGTATGATTAACACTTCCAATACCCTTGATAAGGATGATTTAATGAAGTAATATTTAATTAAAACACCTCAGAAGAAATGCAGTTATCAAGATGCACCTCTTCAGTTCTTTAAAATTCAGCTAGCATCAGATTCCACCTATTCACAATAGAATAATTCTCCTGTTTCTCTTCATACCCTAAGTTCACTTACGTTTCTTCTGTCTTTTGGTATATCCCCAGAGCACAGCACAAAGCACAAACAGTTAAAAAGTAGTATCTGCCTAACAAGCAGACTCATGTATGACTGCTTAGCCCTAGGCTAGATAGCATTTTTGAATTTAGCAAAGAAAGAGAAATGAAGAGATAATGGCCAGAGCTCAAAGAAAAATACAAAGATTTATTTAGGTATTGCTGAACTGGGGGTGAATATAGTGGTATAGAGAAAATTTTGAATGCAGTAATCTAGTTTTATGTAAGTGTGGATTATTTATCCGCAATCTTTTCAGATTCTTCTGTTACTGATAAAAATCACAAAAGCCCTTAAGTAATCAGTGAGTAGTGAAGGTAGCAGCAGATGTCATATGGATATATCCAGACAGCAGAAAGTGTGCTGTCTGGATTAACAATCTGCTGTTTCCAGTGATCCCTATCTGCCACTGATTTAATTGGAGGAGGTCCTGATAAAGACAGGGTGCCAACTGGACTTTGGTCTTTCGCAGGGGTAAGTAGTAAAGAACAAATTGAATCTGAAGCCAAATATTTTCCAGATTATTCTTTGTAACTTGACCTGCTAGGTCTCTCTGTCCTGGTAGATTTCCCTGGAGCATGATGCTGAATGCCACCAGCTAAGCCTGAGCTTGTTCTGTCATTTCACAGTTGACAGGCTGGAATAAAAGGATTTCCTTAGCTTTTCTGTGGGCTCTTTCTCTCCCACAGGGTCTCCACCTGGCTTCTGGGATCCACAATAGGAGGTCCTTTTTGAAGGGGAAGGAGCATTTTGTTCCACCACTCTTCCTGTTTCTGAGGAAGAAAATATGCAGAGGAGGAGGAAGAGGAGGAGAAGAAGCAAGAGGAGGCAGCTTTGTTTGCCTCACAGACTTGCTGGGAAAGAAAGAAGAACAGGAAAGTGACTCTAAAAGACCAGAATCATAGAATCATTATGGTTAGAAAAGATCTCTAAGATCATCAGGCCCGACCAGCAACCCAACACTACCATGAGCACTAAACCATGTACTGAAGTACCACATCTACATGTTTTCTGAACACCTCCAGAGATGATGACTCCACCACCTCCCTGGGCAACCTGTTCCAATGCCTCACCACTTTTTCAGTAAAGAAATTCTAACTAATAATCAGTCTAAACCTCCCCTCGTGCAACTTAAGGCCATTTCTTCTTGTCCTATCGGTAATTAGGAGAAGAGACTGACACCCACCTCACTACAGACTCCTTTCAGGTACTTGTAGAGAGCAATAAAGTCTACCTTGAGCTTCCTCTTCTCCAGACTAAGCAATCCCAGTTCCCTCAGCTGCTCCTCAGAAGCCATGTTCCCCAGACCCTTTACCACCTTTGTTTGCCTTCTCTAGACCTGCTCCAGCACCTCAATGTCTTTCTTATACCTTGCTGCCCAAATGAACCCAGTACTCAAGCTGTGGCCTCACCAATGCCAAGTCCACGGGCACAATCACTTCCCTACCCTGCTGGGCATACTATTTTTGATACAAGCCAGGATGCCATTGGTCTTCTTGGCCACCTGGGCACACTGCTGGCTCATCTGCAGCCTGGTGTCCTCCAGCACCCGCAGACCATTTTCTGCCATTCCTTCCCAAGTCTGTAGCATAAGTACTGGACACAGCACTTGGCCTTGTTAAACCTCATACAGTTGACCTCGGTCCATTGATTCAACTTGTCCAGATCCCTTTGAAGACCCCTGACCAGATCAACACTCCCACTCAATTTGGTGTCATCTGCAAACTTACTCAGGGCACACTCAATCCCCTCACCCAAACCATTGATAAAGATATTAAACATAACTGCATCTAAAACTGAGACCTGGGGAACACCACTTGTGACTGACCACCAACTGGATTTGGCTCTGGTAACCACAACTCTATGGGCTTGGCCATCCAGCCAGTCCTTTACCCAGTGAAGAGTCCACCTGTCTATGCCATGAGCCACCAGCTTCTCCAGCAGAATGCTGTGGGAGACGGTGCCAAAGGCCTGACTGAAGTCCAGGTAGACAACAGCCACCACTTTTCCCTCATCCACCAGACACGTCACCTGATCATAGAAGGAGATGAGGTTGGTCACACAGGACCTGTATTTTATGAACCCACACTGGCTGGGCCTGATCCCCTTTGTTTCCTGCACTTGCTGTGTGAGTGCACTCACGATGAAGTCAGAAGACTGAATGAGGAACAGCAGAAAATTTAGGAAGATCCTTCCTAAATAAGTCCCAAGGTTCCAGTCTTCCTTCATGACTGTTCTTCCAGAAACAGTCTTATAAAAGCTTTTCTATCTCCATTCTAGATTTCTGAAGAAGGACAATCCATCTGGCACTTTTCCTGGTTTTTAACAATTTTTCAGAAATCCCTTTAAGCTACAAAGCGTATAAGAAATACAATATACTTAATTTAAACAGAATCTACAGGGCATCTTTAATTAAGACCATAGATTTAGGACTGCTAGTCACTGCAAGCAAACTTCCTGTTGCAGTAGGATACTTTATCAAAAGACTTTTTCAAACAGTATTTAAAACTTCTGAGGCACTTTGTTCCCACGACTCCTAATTGAGGATTTTTCCAGGACCTCACCTTTTAGATAATGCAGGTTAAAAATGTTACTGATTCCCACTTTAAGCTCAGTCATAGTGATATCTATTTCTTCTTGCATAAACATTTTTATTTGTCTTATACAGCTCTGTTCGCACTTTGGGTTTTGTACCCAAATAGTTTTTAAATCAAGCTGCTTTTTGCTTTATAGGCGGTGTTCTTCTGATAGTCCCCGCAACTCCTCTCTCCATTGTGCTTATTTTGCATGAATCTCCCTATGAATGTAATGACCCACCCCCCGATGGTTTTTTAATTTTGATTTATTGCGAAGTCTTTGCGCTTTTCTTCAAGGTACTTCTATCCTTCAGTACAGCTGAGATCCAGCTAATGGGTTGTTAACTGCTTAAAACAATTCTCAAATGTTTTTGAAATTGCAGTTTGAAAGGCACTGTGATTGCTTTCACCAGTTACAGATAATAACCTCCCAACTTGAGAGATTCATTAAAAATACATGCTGCCAGATCTGTAACCTTATGCCCTAATTATTTCATTATTTTGAGATAAAGATTATATCATTCCCTGACTTTATTACATTAAATTCTTTTAATTTTGTTTCTAATTTAGATACAGATTTTTATACTTCTCTATTGCTCTTCTGCATCATATCCTGAGTTCATCATCAAGATTACTGAAAACAGAGGCATGTATTTGTTGGTTTTGGACCTGGGTCTAGTGTGTCTTTAATCTTGACCAAATCTTTAATCTAGAAAATCACTGCTTTTTATTGGTGTCTGTTTATACAATTGAAGAAAATGTTACTGTTTCTTTTCAGTTGTTCTGCAAGATGAAACTCAGCTGGACCTTGTAAAGTTTCTACTTCATACTCTTGCTTCTTGACCTCCACATTTCAGATTTTTTTGCTGCTGCAGCAATAACTGGTAAATAATATCAGTTCAAGATTGTCTGTGGGGTCGATGTGAAGCAATTGGATTATGGAAATACACTTTAATTTAGGTTTCACTGAATCGATAATGTCCTTCTTTTAAAAAAGGAATGTAACGAGTGACTTTTGTTTTTAGTACAGAACAGTTAAGGTTAAGACCAGGCTAGTGATACAGGAATTCAGGAAGCAACACAGAAAGCGCATTCCTACACACTCCTACTACAGGTGACAGGAAGTCCCCTAGTTTTTTTGTTATTATGTCCACACAATTATTTCCTCTATGCACATTTCTTACAAGACATTCCTGAATATCTTCCAGTCCTTCTACAGCTGGTGCATAACCCAGAACCTCCCAGTTTCACATAACATTTTTTTTAAAAAGTAAATTCTGTGTTGACTTTAATGATGCTTGCTGTAGACTTATGAATTTGACATTTTGAAAAAACCATCTTTTTATTCATCTGTCCAGGTGTGTTTTCTTCACTTTTTATAGCAAATACTGAGACAATATGATTGACAACAAAGCCCATGTTCGGTTGGTTTACTCTGAGTTCTTTGGATGACTGAAGCCCACATAAGATTCATTTCTTTTCTAAATACAAGTACATGATATTCCTAAAGAAAATGCTATTACATTTCAGTTTATTACTTTGTTATGTTTTAGTTGGAAATAAGAAAACATTTTTACCTGTTTAAAGCAAGCTTCCACCAGATTTGGAGGGAACATATTTCTGTGAAAAAGAAAGAAAATAATGTAAGAAGGAATAAGACGTTAGTAATATTTAAGTAGGGGCACAGCTAATAAAAGAATTGACCAGCTAATTTTCAAAAGACTCCTAAGACAAATATGTAATTATGTACACGTAAAGTAGAGCTTTGCAAATAGCATTGGCCTGGTTAGCTTTATCAGGACAAAATGTAATAGGATTGGATGGTTCTGGCAATTGCAACATCTGTATCCAGTATTGTATAGCAATTCTGGTTATGAAGCAGAATATTTGTTAAATTACCAAATGAACAAAGCTCTGTGTGTCAGTGATGACTTTTAATTTTCTATTTATTAATGCTTTCTCAATCCAGATTAATATTATTAATAGTAATATTTAATGCATTTCTACTTCTCAAACAATTTTTGCAGTCATGTGGTCTAATACATCATGACATTTATCGGTTGATTTAGAGTCTTGTCTTGATTAAGAAATAAATATTTCTGAAGTTTGAGTATTCTTTAATAATAATACATATATATCTGTGTGTGTATACTTGTTACACACAGGCATTTGTTTTTTGCTTTCCAGCACGGTGACATTTCTGAAGGAATTAGAAGCAGCCTAACTGAATAAATCTTGAGGAATCTGAGTGCAAACCTCTTCATGGGTCTTTCTGAAGTCCCCCTTCCTGGCAGCATGACTCTTGGAGGCCTTTCTCCATGTCTCTGGCTTCTCCAAATGGGTTAGTAGAACACAAAATTTTGGTGGATTTACCTGTGGAAAAGCTCCCGAGTTCAAAACCTCAGCTTCCCTACTCCCTGGAATACATCTGTGACATATTATCTCTATAAAAGAGGCATTGCAGAGTCTCTGAGCAAGGAGAAAACAAGATTTTATATCTGTGCCCCTCTATTTCAACCATTTTACTTGCCTGTTCCTGGAATTTATTTCCCATCCATACAATTTAACAAGTTGAGTAGATGCACCCAGGTTGGAGACTACAATTCAAAATTAAGATCAACAGCTAAATCAGGGATTCAGGTGAAGTGAGAAAACTTTTGAAAGCTGGAAGTAAAGGAAAGCAGAGGAATTTCATGATAAAGATTGTGCTATGGAAGGAGGGGAAAAGACCCATGCAGGTAGCAGAACAGAAATCTTTCTTTTTGTGCATAAAAGAAAGAATCTTTCTTTTAATATTAGAAGCAGTTTCTTCCCTTGCAACAGCTTGATTTGAAAATAAATCCATGTATACTTTTGCAGTGTTATAGGTGTTAGAGGTATTTGATTTATATAGTTGAAAAAGATTTCACTAGTTTATGCAGTCACTGTCTAAAATTCTGTACATTTGTTCTCATGTGAATCCAAATATTACTGTTGTTACTACTGGTACAGAAAATGTGCTATGTCATAGCCATACCTGATTAAGTCAAGAAAGGCATCTGCTGCTGTCACTTGCACAATTTTGCCTTCTCTGTGCATGTTTTCTTTAGTACCTTTCCCAGGGTGGATGATGACCACAATGACTATGCCAATCAGTACAGCAATGATCGTAGTACTCATGTAGTAGACTACTGCTCGGACTCCCATCTTCCCTGATGCTTTACTATCCAGGGCAGCAATTCCTAGTAAATTTAAGCACAAGTACATTCACCTCATACAGTTAGGAGTAAAGATTATAAACTCAGTATGACAAAAATGGTTTTGTGGGAAGAGTTTTGATGGCCTGTACAGTTAAATAAACTACCCAAGGTAAGCTGGCCCCCTTTTGCCGCTCTTCACCACTGTTTTCCCATCCCACCACTAATACTTGTTATTACATAATTTTCTGTTACAAGAGTTACAGCTTTCTGTGTTAATACTTTGTTAAAAGTAAAGAGTATTGGTCTAATACAGTGTAGTACTCCCTGTATTCCAGTGATGCTCCACCTAATTTTTTATAGTAAGAAAGAAAACGGAGTACTGTCAAGTGATGTTGATAATGTTTTGAACAACTAATGTGTACGAAGAGTTTCAGTTACTAATGAAATGACCTCAGTTTACCTCTGTCCCAAGCCATGGGAGTTTAAAACAGATTAAATGCTGTTAGCTTGTATCAGAAAATCCTTACTATTGTATGAATAAGCATTTAGAGTCTTTTATAAGCTTTGTAAAACTTGCGACATTAATCCTAATTCTTGGCTCGTCTAATGCATCTGATCTAATGTGAATACTAGGGTGCTCGCTATGGCATCTGCTAAAGTGTTTGTTCATCAGATTGCACCAACAGGGCTGTACTGTGTTTTTTAAATGAAGGTGCAGTTCTGCCAGGGAAACTCTGAATCCTGGAGCAGGAGCGTCTCATGAAGACTGTGAGAAATAGAAATGCTCTTTCTCTTTCCAAGCAGGTGCAGTTAGTATTCTTCCTAAAATGCTGCACACTCCTTCTGCTCAAAATTTCAAGTAGTCAATAATAACTTCCCCATACTTCATCTGGAGGGCTATACCATCTGTCTCAATGCAGTGCTGATGCTTCTTGTTAGAATCAAGCTGTCAAAATGCAGAATGAAAAATGAGGTCAGGAAAGGATCTACTTGCTTTATTAATTCTTCCTATGGACCCCTGTATGGCACTGTCTAATCCAGACTTCTGCAGATTGCTCACACACATTTATCTAGATGCCATCTTTGAACACAGTAAATAAAATGAAAGTTGACCACCTTCTGCTCTGGGTACCTGTCTCAGAGTAGAAAAAAATTAAAATAAGGCAACAGGACTGCATGAATGTCAAAAATATGGAAACGTAAAACTAGAATAATGACCTGTCAAAAGTACGTTTTCTCAAATCACTGTGGATATATTGTACTTCTGTGTACCTACTCAAGGAGGAAAAATGTGCCACTGGAGTTACAGCGAATGTTCTTTAGTCACTGTTGTAATTGAGATCAAGGCTGTGTTCCAGGGTCTGATCAAATCTTCAAAGTATAAAACCAATCACATGGTTCATACTTACCCTTTCATTTCAGCTAGCATTTGCCTGTCCTTTCAGCAGAAGACATTAGAGCCAGTTAGATTTGTACCCACAAAATGAATTGCAAAGGGATGTCACTAGATTTGCACTATGAACTGGTTGATTTACATGAGACACTGAAGTGCAAGAACAAAGTGTTACTGGTGCAGCAAGAAACTGAAACTGGGGATCCAACATCTGAAGCACTTGATCCTTAATTTCCCTACCCATCTTTTTCTTCTGTAAAACTAGAATGCGTATGGTAAGTTTATATTTATGGCTTGAAATTCTGTGAGGAAAATGGCAAATACCATGAAGCAATGAATATCTTTCTTATATTTACAAACATGAAGTAAGTAGTGAATGGAGGATCAGTTATACTTTAGAGTCCCCAAAGTGATGCAAATGCAAAATAATGTGATTAACCAATGCATAAAAAATATAGTTAATAATTATGGAATATTTCGGATCTACTAATGAGCTGCACAATGTTTATATGTGAAGACATTTGTTGCAAATTTATTTTTAAAGTATCAATATGTAACTTAAAATGTGAAAAATAAATGCATTCGTAGTAGCCCAGTCACCTTTATCTTTGGAAATTTTAATTTCTGTTGTATGATCTTCCTTGCTATTTCTATAGCAGCAGCAATGGGCTGTTTATTTTTTTCATTTGAACTCAGATGAGATTTAAACTTGGTTTAAATCTTGAGCATGAAAAAGTTAACTGACATAGTTTGGTAGAAAAGTTTGGAAAAGGACAGATGTTAAATCAGTCAGTTCCCTGTATCCTGCCCATCTCAGGTAATACATTCAGGATCAGAGGCTAAGCACTGTCAGCCTACATTGTTTATAGGCATAATGCTAACTGCTTTAGCCAAGCCTAATCTTTCTTTATACTCGACACTTGATACTAGTTTGAGTGTCCTACACACCAAAAATCACTAGGAGTCATTGTAGGGCACATCTTACCATTAAAGACTGCTGTGTTGAAGGATTAGAGCTTGTGATCCTGTTTCGTTCTTGGACTGATTCTGGGATTGAGTGATGAACCATGTCCGAGTGATATGTCAGGGAGCAAGAGTCATGCTCTTTACTTTATAAGCTGATTTCTGGCTTGGTTTTCTATTATGCACTCCAGCTGGGACTACATGGCTCCTTATTTTAGGTTGCTCTGTCTCATT